GGGGGTTGGCAGTTCCGGCGTTCCAAAATTTGGCATCTTCATTTCTGCCCGGGACTAATAGGGAAAATTTTTCTAAAAAAAAAAAAAAAAAAAAAAATACAGAACTATATTCTGTCTACCTGATGTGCACCTTATGCAAAGACAAATTGAAAGTAAAAGGATCAAAAACAATGTACTATGCAAATAGTTACAAAGGCTGCAGACCTATACTAATATCGGATAAAGTGAATGTTGAGAATAAAGTATTACAAAGATAAAGAGTTACTTTTCTTAACGAAAATAGATTCATTCATGTAACTGCAAAATAGCTGAAGCAAAAATGAGCTCAAATAAACTGAGAAACATGTAAGTTTTCCATTATGATTGTGCCACATGTTATTTAATCTTTTTCTTATTGATGGGCATTTGATTGTTTCTGCTGTTTTTTACTTTTTGCTATTGCCACAGTGAATATATTAGTGTGCATATCTACATATACTCATGTAATAGTATCTATTTAGGATAGATCCCTAGAATGTATTTGCTAGGTCAAAGGCCATTGTGTAATTTTATTACATTTTATCAAAATCATATTTTATTTTGATTCAGTACAGCCAAATTCTTCTTCTAAAAGACTTCACAAACTTACCCGCCTACCAACAGTGTATGAAAGTGTACAATTTTTTTTTCTTTTGTTCTAACACTATTTTTCCATTTGCTCCTTGGATAGAAATCAAAATTCTTCCCATGCATCCAAAGCCCCACAGTCTGGCCCCTCCTTATGTCACCAGGCCCTCCAGTGTTCCTGCTCCCTCTACTCTCTTCTCCAGCCCCAGTGACATTTCAGTCTCTATAATCTGCTGCAGGACCTTTGTGCCTGCTGTTTGCTCTGCCTGGAACACTTCACCCTTTGTGTTGCTTTCAGTTTATCCCTACTTATCCTTCAGATCTCATATCCCAACTTTGTAGAAGCCTTTTTTAAACCCTCCTGAATAGGTCAATATCTCCGTTGTAGTTTCTCACTGAGCCTCTCATATATAGCATTTATCAAAGATACAATTTTTCATTGGTTTTATTTATTTGTTTGCTTAAATAGATACATTTTTTTGTAGAGACATGGTCCCTATGTTGACAGGGCTAGTCTCAATCTCTCGGCCTCAAGCGATCCTCCTGCCTCAGCCTCCCACAACTGAGCCACCATGCCTGGCCTGCACTGGTTTTCTTTCCTTCTTTCTTTTATTTTTGAGACAGGATTTCATTCTGTTGCCCAGGCAAGAGTGCAGTGGCATGATCATGGCTTACTGCAGCCTGGACTTCCTGGGCTCAGATGGTTCTCTTGCCTCAGCCTCCAGATTAGCTGAGAATACAAGTGCACGCAACCAGGCCCTGCTATTTTTTTGTATTTTTCTGTAAAGATGAGGATTTGCCATATTGCCCAGGCTTGTCTCAAACCCCTGGACTCAAGGGATCCTCCAGGCTTGGCCTCCCAAATTGCTGTGATTACAGGCGTAACCCACGCCCGACCATTAGTGGCCTCTTATCAGTCTGGAGCTTTCTTTGGGTAATATTCAGATAGGTAGATTCTCTCGGTACCAAGAAACCAACATAGATGATAACAAAACCTCTCTCACTATTTCCACTCATCTGAGCATAGACACAGAAAAGAGGAAGTTCCAGGGATAAGTTC